AAAGCTAATACTAATTTTGGTGGTCCTCCAAAACATATTATACTTACTATAAGTATGTTTGAAAGTACATGCCAACTTATTCTATTAATAACCCTAACCATAACCAGTCTACTAATAATATAATTAGAGTTAATTGACGTGTACAGTAGTTACAAAGTTTCTTATCAAAAGAATGTTTAAAGGGGACCATAAAAAAAGTCAACTCATGTAGTTTTGAGAAAAATATTAAAAACTCATAAACTTTTTTTTTTTTTTAAAACCTCTAATCACTAACATAACTGGATAAGCTGAGCTCCGGTATCTGTATCTGAAAATAAACACCAATAAACATGCTCTACTTAACCTAAATTCCTGGATTTCTAACGTCAGGTAAAACAAAGGGAGGTTTTGAAACATCTGTCTACTGATGAGCCCTGGAAAAAAAAAAAAAACAAGATCAAATTTTACAGTGCTTGAACGCATACAGAGTAGGACGAAACCTGTCAAATGAAAGGGTGCGTCTTCAAAGTGATTGTAAGCTGGAAATGTTATTTAGAGGAGCACACTTTGGTGAATAAGAGTGAATAAACGCAGCCAGTGTGAAATGGAGCTAATGCACACAGGGCCGAGAGCAGAGCAGAGACTTCTGTTTAATTAATGATGGAAACAGAGACTCCTACTTCTCAGACAGTTATACCGGCTGAGCCTATGAGGACGAGAGATGGTATTTTTAAACAAGCATTTGCTCTCTATAGGTCATCTAACCGAGAATACATTCATTTCTTCTGCAGCTTTAGGCCTCTAAATATGCATTACCTCAAAAAAAAACCTGATGAACAAACAATTATGTTGCTTGAAACATTATTATTTTGGAGTTTTCTCCCTTTCAGTGCATTAGTTTGTTGACTGGCGTCACAGAACACTGTACCCAAGTATCCCAATATATACAAATTAGCCATGAGAGATGCAGAGATGTGGAAAGTGCAGCCCACCTCAGAATCACTTGTATCAATAAAAGGATAACAGCTCCCCCAGAGGCCAAACATTGATCCTGCCGCCCAGAGGAGCTGAGCATTTTGCACATCCTTCTCATACAGAACAAGTCATAATAAAGAGCCAGCGAAGTGTAACATCCCCCAAAAGCAATAATGCATGCAGTCGAATGTCTGGCGAGGAAAACAACAGACGTTTGACTTAATCTGTCTGAACCCAGAGTTTTAGACCAACGCTTTTGAGAAGACACAAGCATATTCAATATTTCAAACCGATTGGCTGCATGCACGAGCACAAGACGTCTTGACAACAAAGATCCATGTGCTTAATAAATGAATAAGCCTGCAAATTACAACAGAAAGCTTTATGGAAATGAGATTATGGATCTGGTTTTAAGCTTTCGGATCTGAGATGAGACATTTTGATTAGTGATGTGGCCTTTCTTGTGGCCTTAATGAAGGGTTCGTGTAGATGTTAGCTTTTGCTGACAGTTGTTTAAGTTATTAAAGCATAATTCTGGGATATATTAGAGGATTGTGCTCAAAGCTTTATGATCTGGTCTTACAGAAAATCTACGCTTACGCTGTCAACAGGGAGCCGGTGGCAAACAGTGCCACTCTTTCACTCCGTTTCTGTCTGTTGGGTTTAATTTGGCATGAAGATCATACCAGTTCCTTTCGTAAAACCATGAAAGTGTCTGATCGTGTGACTTGATTTAGGTGGATTAATGCAATGCAGTGTCAGTGCTAAACATGAGCTGTGAAGGTTACTCCAGAGAGCTGGATCTCAGAGTGTGTGTTTGCATTTTTGTTGCTCTATTAATGTTTTTTTAATTAGAGCATGATCGTGTTCCTCAAGCAGAGGAAAAAACATCCTGATGCACAGATAGAACCCTCAAGGCCCGCGTCTGTGACTTATTCAGTGTCATTGCGGAGGGGTAGACTGTGCCTGACAAGAGAAATGAGACAGACTTGACAGAGATGAATAAACATAACATGCTGATTTAATACAAAATGAGAGGTCTCGAAACAAGAGTCAGGGAGTACAAGAAGACAGAAAACTTGTTTGATCCATTTAGCCAGTCTAAGATAGTGAAGACGCCAAATAAGTTTTAAAAGACTGAAATGCTTTCTCAAAACTATCTTGAATGTATATAAAATCAGTATATGATCATACTTATAAGCTGAAGCATTATGTAAACTCTCTCATTCCAGATAGCATTAGTTCACACCTCAGTTCACATTCATTTCTATACAAATAAACTTGAATTGAATTGAATTTCTAGCAAATATTGAGTTTAGAACTACAATATAAGGTGGTATTAATGTATTGAATAGTAAATTGTCATTTATTTCAATCTAACTGGATTTAGTCAACAAATATCGGCAATGTGTCATATTTTTAGTTATATTTTCCTATAATTAAATGGGTTTCTGATCATAAGAAACGTGAAACATTTTGTAAAAAAAAAAGTGGTTTCTGACTGAAGAACTAAAAATGAAGCATTTACTAAAATGAGGAAGTCAAAAAACGTATACTTATTCTAAATATTTATAACAATCAATATGCTATTAGATAGTAGGTATTTAATATTCAATTCTATTTAAAATTACGTTTAAAATGTTTATAGTAATATTTACATGAAAAAGAAATCAAGAAGAATTAACTATTTCATACAGTTAACTATTCATTCAGGTAAGTATTTATTACCCAATTATTTGAAGTTTATATAATTATGTTTAAATGGAAATAAAAATCAAGAAGCATTTAATATTTTGTAACAAATAATTGTATTCACATACAACTATTTTGTTTAATGCAGTATTGACTCAATATCAATTAATATTGCAAGAGTTTATATGGTTTTGACTGTAAAAAAAAATGGTTGGTATGGTTTCTGACGGCTAAAAAAGGCTATTTATGCTTATATATACCATAGGCTATTTATGCTTAGGCTATATTTCGCTACTGCAATAAACCTACTGCAGTAGCTTAATTATTTAGTAGTACATTTTTCATATTTATAAACTCAAAGTTATGCATGAGTAGAAAATAACAAGTAAGAACCCTAAACATTGTGTTAAAAAAAAAAAAATCTGGTCTTAACTGGCTTTAGAAAGATTTTGTGTGCTTGGCCAGGCTAGATGAGCATCTAAAACCATTAAGCTAACCGCGGTTTAAGCTGTAGCCTAAGCTTTTTTTTTTTTTTTATCCTCAGGGGAATTTATACAGTAGGTTACAACACGCTTTGTTTCAGTACCATAGCTGGCAGCTAGTTTAATAAAGTTTATAACTGAGTTAATAGCGACTAGGTACATCAGAGTTTTTCTATAAATACATTTACGTAGAAATCGAAATAAAAATGTAGAAATTCGGGATGGTAGGCTACGTTTCTTTATAAATGCATTCTAAAACATCAAACGGCATTTTATTTGAATGAAGTCGGCCGTTAGGTGTGCGCGCAGTTTTTTTATTTTTTTATTTAGGACGAGCCAGAGACGCGCGAGCTGCTTCGAACAGTAACTCACAGCCCGAGACTCCAGCACGCGACGTTCCGCCAGCAACTGCGCATCCTCTCTCTCTGTTTCACACCGCTTCAGTCGAAAGGGAGGGAGAGAGGCGTCTGAGGAGGAATCGTAGGTGAGGTTTGGACCACAGCCGGCGAGGTGGAGGAGGAGGAGATCGCGCGCCTCGTACACATTTGAAGGATGCGCTGCCGCGCGCAACGGCGCGTACTGTAGAGATACAGCGAGCTTGCGGGATTGAGGCGTCAGGGTTTCTTTCTCTATCCATGTTTGGCTTTGTTCAAGAAAACCTGTCACTATCTGACACTCCGTGAGCAAACAGCATCACTTTACGGACGGAAGAAGAGGAAGGCAGGAGTGGGCTGTTTCTCTTCTCGCAAACATCCAGAGTAAGTCGGTCTGATTTCTGCTGAACATGCTGCTTATCAATGCAATTACAGCTGCTCTGAGAGTTTCGTGTGTCCCACCTGAAGCAAGGTGTGCGGTGATGATACACTGTTAAAACCCTGCAAGTGCCGATTTATATCATACTGCATCATCTCTGTATCGGCATAAATGATACTAGGGTTGCGCAGCTGGTACTAAAACGATCAGAAATGGTGGCATGCCTGCACTGTGTACATGCATAGATATTCACCCAGATGTTTGGATTTCTACAGTCATGAAAAATCTGAGAAAAATACATAATTAGTGAGTTCCACATATCCATAAGTCTTTGAAATTAATACACATTTTTAAAAAGTCATGCATTTTTTTAAAGAGAATATACACTGAGATATTGTGAGAGCAGTTTCTACAGTATTATCGTGTAATTATAAAATTCATAGAAATCATTAGTCAAAAGCTGTTTGGAAACCCTAAATAAGTTCACAAACGTGTTTGCACGCACCTATGTTGTGTTGGATAACGTTTTAGCATTGGACTTTCTTTCTTTGCAGCAGTTTTGTTGTGTTGTTACTGTACTCTCGATGTGCTTATAATTGTCAGATGACTGATGATAATGACCTTATTAGTGATTTGTTCACTCTTGGGAGGAATAGATTAGCTGTGATTGGTTTGGTTTTTGTTAGATTTTTTGTCCGTAAAGTTGTCACAGATCAGTCAAATGAAAGGATAGTGAAACTTCCTTTCGGCCCTGTAATATCTTTTTCTCTCTTCGAAGTTATCCCTCGGACTAAAAAATATGTCATGAAAATATCCCATGAGCAAGCTCTGGAAAGTTTTCAGACTGAACTTTACTTTGATGTCAGCTTTCAGTATTTGCCCTTATGTCTCGCTTTCAAAATGAAGACTTTTATGTCCGTTATACTGTTGTTTTGTGATATTTTCTTTGCTTTTTTATATATATTTTGTTGGATTTTTTTTTTTCTTGGTTCACAGGCTTGTTAACAGAAAACTTTCTTTGACAGTTTTGGTCAGGTCTGTCAGTACAGTACAGTAAAATAGTTATGTCAGGTAACTTAAGAGTGATTTTATTTTTTTCTCTTTACACTATGATGCCGTTTATAATTTGCATGGAAACTCTATTCGTAAGTGTCATGCACTGGTTAACATTTTAAACAGCAGGTGTCAACCAAACCTACGGTACTGTGTATTGACATTAACATGAACTGTGTTCACGTAACGCTGATAGTTTTCACAAGACAAAATGACTTCTTAAAGTAAATTACATGTTTTTGATCGCCATGGCCTCCAGCAGTCATCCGATTTTCCTGGAACATATTAAGATCCATAAAGATGTGTCTCCCTTGTACATTCATTTATCTTTTGTTTCACAGTTAAATTAGTGTGTAACACTTTAATGAGGTTGTTTCAGCTTTGCGAGTAAATATGAAATCGGAGCACCCTGCTGTTTTGTGGGTAGCAAGTTGATTAGATTCTCCTTTGCGCACACAGTAGGAACGTAAAAAGGCTTCTTGCGTTCATTGGGTACTTTGATTATAGTACCCGCAGAATTCACATCAGGGCCAGCCAAATACCAGACACTAAAGATCTGAGGGGGAAAGAAACTGTCTGCGTGCATTTTCAGAGTCTGGTGGTTATTATATTAGAGATGGTTTGTTTGCATATTCTTAATACTGCCGCTCTTTGCATTAGAAGATATTAATATCCGTTTCTGTCTCCATTTATTGTCTCTTTCATCTCCTAAGCATTGCAGCAGGGTGCAATTAATGAAATTCAGTGGCACTGCTGTGCTTTTATTTGTGTTTTGTCCACTAAGTTTTAGAGGAATGAAATATTAACAGTGAAAAAGTGAGTAAATTCTTAAAAGACTTTGGTAATAGTCGCAAATGAATTCTGATTAAATTAATGTTGTTTTCACTAATGATTTCATTTGTAAACAATAAAAGCTAGTTATTGTAGTGTATCTTCAGGGATTTTTGGCAAAAAATACTTTGAGTGTAAATGGACGGGATAAGTTTATGTTAGAAGAGTAACTTAGTTTAAGATAGGTAGAATAAACATAAAAGAAATCAGACAAACATGGAATGATGTGGCATGGTGTTATAAACACCCCGGTGTGGCCGCATGTGGTGTTCACCACAGCTCCTGTGCATGGCCCGTTTGAGTAGTTACTTAGCAACACCTCAGACACTCTCCAACTGGGTCAGACCTTCATTCAGGAGACTTAACACCGCAGACACACACTTGCTCACATGACCCGTTCATGTGGAGTCTTCAAAGAGGCTTTTACAGAAACTTCATGTCAGGGTTTCCGTTATTTCTCACATCTCCATGTCTTGTTTTCCATGCCAGTACTTTAAAGCAAATGGAAGTCACTCTTTTCTAAGGAGACAAAAGTAACTCGCAGTGCAAAACATTAAAGATGCGGCATGTGCCATAATGGCACAGACCCTGTTAAGAGCATGGGAAAAAAAAATGTTGTTTTGAAGAAGCTGCGTTTTTACTTGGATCAATATTTCTATCTTTCCCTAAATGCAATATTTTACACTTCTTAAAACTTTGCTTATCTTTGAATCTGGTTTAAATTGGATAAATCTCCCAAAGAAGGAATGAATGTCCAAGGCATATTTCATTTTTAAAAAGGGGAGAAAATGTACAGTAAATTAAGGCCACACACACACACACACACACACACACACATATGAATGCTGTGAACTCCATTACTGCATGTGCTGCGAGTTTAGCGCACGTTTGGGAATGCAATAGCCACCAGTTAGGCTTTATTTTCGCGGCAGATGATTATAGCATTTCACTAGATTTGTAATGAGACGCATTTTTGTGAGCCTGTTTTCACTGAAGCTGGAGTTTTCCTTCAAAATAAAAGCTATACTGCCGTTTCCATCAAAATGAAACTTAAAAGTGCGGTATGCATTGCTGACAGCTAGCGGTTTAAATGCAGTCCAAATTCAAAATATCTCTTTCAAGTGTAGAAATTAGGAAAGAAGTATTGTAATTTCCCTACTGTAGTGTAAAGCAAAAATAATATATCTATGAAATATTCATTTTCATTTATTTTACAGTGCAATTGTTTTACAATATATGGCTATTACTGTCATTGTTGTTATTATTATTATATTCTAATTTGCTTGGCTTCCCAAAACACCAGTTTGAATGTAATTTAGACTGAGACAGTATATCACAAATAAAAAGAGAGTTGAGTTCCCTTTAAAGTTCAGGTACAAGTCAATTCACTTACTTTTTTCTGAATTAAGTTTTCTTAGTTAAGATCATGGGTTGGAGCTCTTAATTTTGAACTCTCAAAGTACATTAGATAGAATAATTTAACTTTAAAATGTACAACATTTTCTCTTTTTTTCCAATTCTTAATTTGTCTTTTTTTTTTAAATATCGCAATAAATAGTGCATCGTGGACTTCATATTGCGATATTATCATATTGTGAGATTTTAATATCGTTTCATCTCTAATATATATATATATATATATATATATATATATAACATTGTACAATAATACTTTCCTGTGTTCCTGTTAGGACATGTTGATACTTCTTTTAAATAAATTCATAAATTCAGTTCAACAAATACTACAGTACCTCAAGATATTCTCACAATTGTACTTACTGTACTTGCAAATATACATTTCAAGCAATGTTTTTTTTTCCACATTACAGTTAATATTTCAGGCTACTGATAATTATGTTTAATTGTCATGAAAATATTCATGCCGTGTAGTATCTGTGAAACGTTATACTATTATAGGTTATTATTGTTAAACAGTGAAAATGTTATAGTAAACCGTTATAGTATAATGTAACAAATTATCTGAATAAAAAAAAAAAATCTGGAATTTTTTTGATGAATTATAAAAATGTAAAGGCTTTACTGTCACTTTTGATCAATGTAATGCACCCGAATGAAAAAAAAAATCCTACCGAAACAAGTTATTCAATATTAATTGTTTATTTATTAAACCGTTTCATGAAATAAATAGCACACTCGCAATCATGGCATTGTTCTGAATATCAGCTTGACTGTGATTACTGCACTCTTGCTTGTGTGATTAGAGTTAGGGTTAGTGCAAACCCTGTCTGCACTATAAATGAGTTAGCATTTATGAAGTGTCATAAGTAAAATGGAGAAATAAAGAGTTTGAGCAGTTTTTTTATCCAAACGGTCTCAAAGCTGATGCAGCTAATGCCCATTACTAATTGCGCTGTACTGTTAACACCCACATTCATCCTACTTCTGTGTATTTCAGCCAAACACATAACAGCCACACAATTTGGTAACAAACAGGCGCAGATGATTGCATGTACTGCATAATAATAAGCTGAAGAAAAACTGTTTACTTATGCACTGGATGACTGCAAATAAAAACATGAGTTTTAACAGTGAAATATCTGTAAATAGATTCAATGGAGTACTTCTGCCATCATTAGTGTGTGTTTTGCTGAAAAGAAAAAAAAAAACTTTCCTTTTGGTCTGTGCTTGTAATAAGGGATACAGTTCTTGTACTTGCCTAAGTTCACTCACTATTTGACACGGAAGCACATGCATTCAAAACACACTGGACGCATACTACTGTAATTGCGCTAAGGCAATATATGCTTTTTGCGCAATTAAACGTGAGGTCAGATGTGCCCATCTCCTCTGGGGTTCAGAGCCGCTACTGAAAACCATGCACTTTGATGTAAATTACTCTAAAATGGTATTCGACTCATTTCAGCCTGTATCTCTGAGAGGGTTTATAGAGAGGCTGCATAGCTATTAGTATGAGAAAATTTGCCTTTCTGGCCTCGACTCCGTCTTGGTAGGTTGAGTGGTGTGCATGGGCATCACTTCTTATTAAAATGTGGTGGGGACAGTGTTGAAGCTGTTTGGAAGCTGTTCTGGTTGTGATGTTGTTACATGAATTTAGTAGCTCATGAATATTAAAGGAATAGTCCCCCAACAAATAACAATT